ACAGTATAATACCATACCAGTAAGTTCATTTGACATTTTTCAAAAAAAATATTAATTTCGCATTTCATATTGGTCGGAAGTTGAAACATTAAGAGGAAAATTTTTGAAGAAAAAAAATCAAAATTTTAACTTTTCTGCCTGTTTCTAATCAAATTGTTGCATTTTTTTAAAAAAAATTTGAAAAACAAATTTTGACATTTTTTATAAAATATTAATTTTGCATGTGATGTTGGTCAGAAGGTAAAAAAATATATGAACATTTTTGAAAAACTTCAAAATTTTTACTTTTTATGATTATCATCAAATAAGACCATTTTGAAAAAAAATTAGAAAATACATTTTTAGACATTTTTTAAAAAATACTAATTTCACATGACATATTTGTCGGAAGGTGAAAAATTTTGATGAAAAATCTTTAGAAAAACAAATTTTGACTGTTTCAAAATTTGTATTTAACTTTTCTGCGTATTTTTCATCAAATTAGAGCATTTTGAAAACAAATTTAGAAAAAAAAAGTTTGGATTTTTTTTTTTTACTTTTCCCAATTTTGAAAAAATACTTTGGAAAAATTTTTTTTTTTAAATACTAATTTTGTGGGTCATGTGGTCAGATGTTGAAAAATTTTGATGCAAATTTATTAATTTTTTTTCAAAATTCTATCTGTGTCGTTTCTGTATGTTTCTCATCAAATTATAGCATATTGAAAAATCTTTTAGAAAATAACTTTGATGGAATTTTTCGGTAAAATTTTGATTGAGTTTTTGGATTTTTCTCAAAATTTAATCTTCTCTGCATGTTTAAATTAGAGTATTTCAAGGAAGTTTTAAGGGATAAAAAGAAATTTGAATGTTTTGGCCAAAGTCTTAAAAATATGTCATTTTTTTGGACAGATTTGGACAGATTTCCTGGGCATTTTCTTTTTTAATAATTCTATATTTTCTTCATGTTTCTCCCCAATTTAGAGCATTATGTTTTGGTACATCAACCACTGATAAAAAAGTTACATACTATACTAATAATTTCCCAAAATATTCTTCCCCAACATGAATAAAAATTAACTAATTTACCTACCTTATTTTTAATTGAAATACATGAAAAAAAAATAATTTTTTAATTGAAATACATGAAAAAAAAATAATATTTTGGTATGTCACCCATTGATCAAAACTAACTTAATATACTACTATTTTTCCAAAAGGTCATTATAGCTTAAAAAATCTATATGATCTGATGATCCTGCACACTGTCACTTGTCACAAAATATCACACCAAAAGACCTGCTTCAGTTGTCAGTTGTAACAGAAGACACAGACAAATTCCTTGTCCTTGGGCCCCATTTGGCCCACTAGCCAGATCTAGCCAGATGTTGTACATGCCTGACCTAACCATTTACGAGACTACAAACTGTTAATGTAATGAAAGCCCATTATTGTTTTGTGAACATTATGCATTGTCAAAATGCCAGCAGGACAATGTAGACTTTTAGACTGGCCCCACGCCATCTAAAACACCAACTTTAACACAAGGCATCTTCTCTTCTATGGCAAAAAGACGTTGTGGAGCGAAGTCATCATGGGGGGGGGGGGTACCAGACAGTACAGTACAGCATCATTGTCAAAGTCAGTAGATGGAAGATGTCTCTAAAATATGTGCAACATTTTGAATAATTAAAAAACATGGAATGCTTACCTTTAAAAAATTTCAAGTCTTCTTCCAGCTCTGTACCAAACAGACCTTCAAGTATACTCTCAAAACCTGATGGAAAAGAGAAGTTTTAATAAAAATGCGCCTTTGTCAGAGAATTAATCAATGGGTAATGGAAAAACTTGGTTGATGCTGAAGCGTTATTAAAGATCCCAGAAACACATGCACATTGCGTATTATAGAAATTTGCTCCTGAACCTCTTCTCAGTGACCTC